GGCTTCTAGGAAGTGCCTGGATGGGTCTGTGCCGTTTTTCTGGCACTGTTTCTGGAAGCGGTTTGCCCTTGCTGCTGCTTTCTCCTCCTCCCCTTCCTCCATGGGGCTGATGGTCCCCCAGTTTCTAGCCTGGAGCCTCAGCCAGCGGACCAGAGAGGATCTCTCAGGCTGAAAGCCCTGTCCCCTTTCAGCGGCAGTCTGTAGCAGGAGCATTGCTGAACTTAGCAAATCTGAGGCATTTCAGATATTCTTTTTGCAAAGTGGCCTCAGACGTCATTTCTGAAGCCTACAAGTTTCTTCTCGTCATCTTTTGGAACTCGGGGGGGGGGGGTGGTGGCTCCTGCTCTGCTCCTTATCCCTTTGCCCAAGTCTGCTGTGCTCACTATGCCCCACGCAGAGTCCCCAGGCGAGGGGAAGGGGCTTGGAGAAGGGCACGGAAGCACTTTGTCTGCGGTCCCTTTAGCAGGTCCTACTTTCCTTGCTTGGTTCTCAGCTTCAGGGGTGTCGAGGCGGGGATGCTTTCAAAGCCTCGATGCAAATGCGCCCTTGTTCCTGCTTTCTGTCCACTTGCCTTTGGCCCCCATCTGCCCTCTCTGGCCCAAACCCTGCCCCCTTGGCCCAACCCAGACATTGGCCTTTGGAGCCAGCTGGTGAGAAACAGCTCGTTTTCTTCTAATTCTCCCTTGGTGTCTTTCTGTCTTCCCCAGCTTCCTGGAAGAAGTGTCTGCTGCTGGCTTCCGAGGACGAGGCGCCGAGGGTTCTCAGGGGATGGCCCAGGCTGCAGCCAGGCGGCTGAACTGAGGTGGCGGCAGCACTGCCACTGGCTCTTTCTTAGCCGTCTCAGACCGAAATCTGTCCGATGTGGTTCAGTGCTTGCTGAGCTCCATGTTTGGCCATGGTCTCCTGGATAAGTGCTGCAGAAGATCGCCTTGAGGTCTCCCTTCACCTATTACAGCCAGGCAGCACAGATGGGATGGAAACGGTGGTTCTTTTCCCTCCCTCCCTCTCTGGTGTATCTCCCTTTCGTGGTCAGTTCTCAGCTTGTTGTCTGCCTCCTGGGCTGGGAGCTACCAAGTGAGCCTCCGAGTCCCCCCAGGTGAATAAAAGGTCACTGTGGCAGAGACCATCTGGGTTTCTTCTTTGAAATGAGTGAATATCTCTGGAAGTGCTGCTGGCTGGCCGGCCAGAAAATGGGGTTGCTTGTGGAGGCCTCCTGGAGAGCTGGCTGTGGGCTGCAAGAGGGCCCAGGATATTCTTGGCACCCTCTCAAATGCAGGGCTGGATTTTTCACATACTCGTTTGTATTTCAGACTTGCTCCTGTTGGGGGTTTCTGATTTCTTGCTCTTAAGTTTTGTGTCGGTGTGTGTGTGTGTGTGTGGGGGGGTGTGTGTAATTAGAAGCTCTGTATTAGCTCTGGCACCAGCAGGGGGCATTGGAGGGTTTTTAAGCCTTCCAGTGTTTGGCCCTGGGTGGGAGGGAGTTGGTCCTTCTGGTCTCCTTGGACAGGAACTTCCAGGACAGCCAGAGGTGAGGGGTGTGGAGGTCCCAGTCCAGGGACCAAAGCTTGACCAGAATTCTTGTTAACTATTTGTCATTGAGTATGAGGGAGTGGGGAGGGGTGGGGTGGGGTAAAACACCTGTCTCCTGAGAAGGAGAAACCACCAATGGCCCACGGCCAGCCTGTCTTCTGCGGCCCACTTTCCGCCTGCGCAGGGCTCTGCTGCCAGTCAAGAGAAGGCATTTCCATCCTTTTTACTGGCAGTTCCCTGAAGCTTTTGCCTATTTAATGACGGGCGTTCCTAATGGCAGCCTCTTTGTGCCGGGCTAGCAATAGGACAATAGGACTTTCCTTGGGGCACCTGCTGGGCTGCGTCGTCTTCCTTGCCTATGATAGTGGCTGGCAACAAGGACTTCTGCCATGGAGCACCTGCTCAGGGGCCCCTGTTCCAGGGCGGAGGGCAACCTCTGCAGTTGCCTCCCTCCCCACCTCCCAGGAGCTCCGGGGTTTCTTTCCCTGGCAAGAGGAAAGGCCGTGTCTATGCCAGGACTCTGGGAGGGGCGTCAGGACAGGTAAAAAGACGCTGCTGGTGCGCCGGGAGTCTGGATCTCATGGACGCCAAGCAGGCTCCCCAAGCGCTTCCCCCGAGGCTGCTCTGCACAAGTCAAGATGGCTGCCGTCCTGCTCTGAATCAGACCGGGGTTTCCCTCTGGCCTCAGTTTCCCTCCGGCTCAGATACGCAGAAGGGGGTTTGTGGAGCTGATGGCCGTAATAATTGCAACCCAGATGATGTGGCTGTCCAGGATAAAAAACCCAAGGAGGGGATTGCCTATCCTCCTCCTCAAGGTCACTCGTCTGTCACCCGACTGCCCCTCCTCTGGCTTCAGCACCCTTGATGCAACTGGGTGCAATCAGGCGGGGGGTGGTGGTTCTCCCCATTTCTTTTTCCATCCTGTTGTTGGGTGTGAGCTGCTTCCACACACTTCGCTCGCTTTTGCTGTTGCTTTAGTGCTAGTGCTGGTCAAGGCTCCAAACAAGGCAGGAAGCTGTTTATGGGTTAAAAACAAGGCTGCAATGTCTACAGTTCGAAGAGCAGGTGGATTATGGCAAGGTGTATGTGTTTGTGTGCCTGCCTTCAAGTCAGTGCAGACTCCTGGCCACTGCCTGGAGAGGTCCCTGCAGTCTTCTTGGCAAGATTTTAGAAGCAATTTGCCATTGCCTGCTTCCTGGGACAGAGAGAGTTGACTGGCTCCGAGATCCCCAGCTGGCGCCTTACCTAAAGTGGGACTAAAACTCAGGGTCTCTGGTTTCTACCTGATGCTTTAACCACTACACCAGGCTGGCATTGTGGGCCTGCCTCTTGTGACAGTGCCAGCCACTCTTAACCAGAGATCAGCTGCTAAGCAGGAGGATCAGGCGCTGTGTGTGTGCGTGCGCGCGCACGCGTGTCTCCTTCCCCAAAGCTGCATCCAGCCAGGGGAGGCCAGCAGGCTCCAAGGGTTGTCAGCCTGTGCATTGGCAGGCAAGATACACCAATGGATGGCTTAAATAAGTCAGCCACAGTGGGAAAGGGGAAAGGGCGGCATGTTGGCAAGTTGGTGGTGGACATAGAAAAAGGAGAGTCCTTTGCCATTTTGGCAAATCACGCTAAGCCAGAAATGGGTCCGAGATGCCTTGCTTGGAGAGAGGGTGCTTGGTCGTCCCCCGTCCCCCCCCCCCGTGGGGCGCAGGTCTTGGCTACGGTGGGTTTGTGCACGGGGGTCCGTGCCCGACTGCATGGGCAGCTCTAGAAAGCTGTAAACTTCTGCCTGTCGAGGCGACCCTGCTCCCAGCTCCTGTGAGTCAGGCAAAGAGCCAGCCCTTCGTGCGGGATCTTTTCTTGCTTTACATGATGGACTCCCCCAAGCTCTCCACTCCCAACCGCCTGGCACTTCTGCCCAGCACCCTTGAAGCCCCCCAAGCGGCTGCCTGCCTCTTTTGCTCAGGGTGTCTTTGGCACCATGTTGGGAGCAGCGGGCTGCCATCTTCTCCCAGGCCTGCTGGAGTCCCGGTGTCCTTTGTCCTTTGCCGCTTCGTTCTCTCTCCTCCTTTGTCATTTTCTTGAACCTGTTGCCTGCTGAAGACCTTGGTTAGATGTGGCAGCTGGGGTGCCGTTTTCGCTCCTAACCAAGTTCACCAAATGGAGGTGTTTCTCTCAGCAGGGCCACTTTGGTCTCCTTCCGGGGGGGCCGTGCCAGGTCCCTGAGTGAGCATAAACTCATTTCAGGAAGGACTGTGCAAAAAAGAGGGCGTCCGTGCCTGGGCTGCTTTGCTTGCGCCTCTGCTAATTCCCTGGGCCCGGCTCCTTGGGCCTTTCTGGCCCTGCTGCCTCTCCCCCCCCCGTCCCCCCCCCACCTCTCTCCTCTCTTCCCAGCCAACTGACACAAAAGGGTCTCTTTCCCTCCCTCCTTCCCTCCTCCCAGCTTCACTTGCCTCTTTCCTTGTGAAAAACGTCACGGCTTGTTTGGCTATAGGTGGTGCTGTGGAGCCCAGGCGAACCCCGTCCCTCGATGCCCAGGCGAGAGAAAGGAAGAGGAGGAGGAGAAGACCGAGCAGGGGAGGGGGTTTCTGGGGGTCCCTCTGCCTGCAGAGATGTGTGGGCATCGCAGGGGCAAATTCTGCCTCCAGGTCATGGGAAGTCCCTTGTGCTTTCCTTAAGGCGGAGAGATTTATTTTTCTCCCCCTTCCCAATAACTGCACAGATTTTAGGGTTCTCTGCCCGGCAAAGACCCACTCCGGGTTTTTTCCTGCCCCCCCCCCCCCCAGCATACTCTCTCTCCCCCTTCCCTTTCCCTCTTCTGGACAGCTGCATTGAGGAATGATGAAAAAAACCAATTCGGCTAAACGGGTGAGTCTCTTCTGCTTTCTGGGTAGCTTCCCCCCCCCCCCCGGGCCTTTTCCTGGCATTGTTTATTGTCCACTTTCTCTGTTGGGTCTGTGGGCGATGGGGGCCCTCAGTCTTGTTCCAACTTTCCTGCCCTCCCCTCCCCCCACCCCAAAATGTACTTGTCTTTGCTTTCTGATCATTCATCCTTTCCAGCGATGCCATCGCCAAACGGAGGGTCTCCATTATTAAGGCTCTGCTTGCATTAATTTAGAAACATGCCTCGTGTTATTTGTGTGGATTTCCTTTTCACTTCCCTAGATGAAGAGAGAGAGAGATTAGAAACGTAGGGAGAAATTGGAAAACATTTGCTTGCGAAACATAGATACGGTTTTAGTCTGAATTTCTGAGAGAGAAGGCTCCATCATCGCAATTATTAAATGCCGACTGGGCCACGAGCAGATTGATTCCAGCCTACTTCTCACAGAAAGCAGGTGGCAGCATCGTTTTCATTCTATTTATTTATTCGCCTTACATCATTTTGTCTCCTTTGTAATTGTGGTAGTGTTTTTTTTTTTAAAGCCAACACTCTGTCAGGCTGATCTACGTGTGCAGTTCCCAGGTGCTTTGGGGAAAGGATGGGGGCCAGCGGGGGGACGGGGGGACGGACGGACGGACGGACGGTAGGGCTTTCTGAGCCAGGGGAAAGGTGCTGGCAGGGGGCAGGCCAGAGACCCCCCCCCATCAATCCTCCTCTTAACCGCTTCTCTCCCGCCCTCCTCCTCCTCCCCCGCTTGTCTCCCCCTCCCCCCTTCGTTCCCTTTATTTTTGGATTGCAGGGGTTCCAGGAGGGGAACCAGCAACTGCTGCAGCCCGAGAAGGTGGGCTGGGTCCGGAAATTCTGTGGGAAAGGGATTTTTCGAGAGATTTGGAAAAATCGGTTTGTGGTGCTGAAGGGTGACCAACTTTACATCTCGGAGAAGGAGGTTGGTAAAGAGGTTTGCCTCATATCCTCTGCTGCTTCTTTAGCCGAGAGCCTTTGCTTTTCTCTTCTCTCCCCCCTGCCCCCCCACCACCACCTGCAGTTTGGGGGGGGGTCTGAATTATGTGGTTTTTTCGCTCAGATTCTGCTCATTTGGTTGATGAAAGGGGAAGCGGAGGCAGGAGAGAGGGCTTCACTTTCCTATAGGGAGGGGCTACCTTTTCATTGCCCCTCAAAGCTTGACAGCAAATTCATTGGCAAAATGCCCCTTTGGCCCTGACCTGGCCAGAACCTGCCAGGAGCTGATTCCTGGGCCAGGCTGGAACCTGCAAGGAGACATCGTGAGCCCGGGGTGGGGGGCAGTCAGGGAGCGATGGACTGCCCTCAGCCCTGGGAGGCCCACCGTCTAAGGGGGAGCCAGTCCCACAGGCAGGAGGAAGGGCTTGGGCTGAGCTTCTTCCCCCCCCCCCCCCCCCCCCCCCCCACCCCCGGTCAGTTGCTTCCTTCTCCTCAAATGTTGTTGTTTTTTGTCTGAAGTGGCTGGCTTGTGCTCAGCACCTAGGAGGCAGTCCCTGCCCTGGCACGTGGACGCCGCGTAGGGTTTGGACACCGTTTGGAGCAGGGGGTTGTTCTGGTTGCCAGCTCTGGGGCTGGGCTGCTACAAGAGCCCCGTAGCCACCTGCGGAAACAGCCGAGCCTTTACAGGCTGCAGACTCGGGCTGGGCTCTGGCCAAGAATCATCCCAGATCCCTCAGCAAGCTCGCCTGAAATGAACTTGAGCGAGGCTGGTCGCCTGTCTCAGCTGCCAGAGGAACCCCCTGGTTTCTCTTCTCCTCTTCCTCCCTGAAAGTTTGGGAGGGTTTCCATGGTGGTGGACCACAAGGGACGGGCCTTTTGCCTTCATTCTGCCTTTTCTGGCATTCAGAAAGCCTGAGGTGAATTTTGCATATTTGTTTTTAGGATTTCTCTGTTTGGTGGCTTTGGGGGAAAGTACAGGCTACATGCAAATTATTATTTTTCCACTGGCTCTTATGAAAATGAATGGCCTTGGAGATGTGAATATCTGTTGCTTAAAAACTTGTTCCCTGATGTTAGGTTTGTGTTGCTATTTGTTCTTTGCAATAGTCACTTTCTAATACAAACTTCTGGTGCTCAAATATCGTTTGGAAGTTTCACATCATCCTAATTCCAGATGAGGAGGAAGCAAAGGCTGCTTCCTTCAGATCTGTCCTTCCTGGCAGATCCAGAAATTAGTTGCTTTTCCCCCTCATTGTTCCCGTTTATTCAGCTTCACACATTTAAGGGAATGGACAGGCCTCTTTCCCCCCTCCCACCCACTCCCAGCCTCCTGTTTTGATGTAAGCGCCCTGGGATGCACTGTCAATGAATGGAGGCGAAAGAATGGAGGCTGAGTGGCCTGTGGGACAAGAGATGCCGATGAGCTCATATTATTCACTTACATTGTTCGTTACCTGTTATTTATCATACTCATAATATCCAGGCGAACCTAAACTCCTGAGCTGGGGTCAAGGTCAAAGAAATTGCTTAGATTTCACAAAAGAGAGACTCCAGCATTTAATTACCCTGAACCCGAACAACGGCTTGTCTGGTAGGAAAAGGAAGGTGGCATTAGCCATGCAGGGAGGTGATGAGCCAAGATGGCTCCGGTTGCAAGTCATTGGATAGCAGGCCTCCCGCCCGATCAGCTGGAAAGGAGCTATGGGGGGGGGAGGAGGAGGAGGAGGCTGAGCTCCTACCTGTCTCTGTGCAGCCTGGAGTGGATCTGATTCTTCCCAGGCCACCTGGAGTGGCCCCTCTTATCCCCTCCCGGGCGCCCTGTGCAGGGCTGTGGAGGGGATTTTGTGCAGCACAACTGGAGGCAGAACAAGAGCTTCCTTAGAGGGGAAATTTAAATTTTTGCTTTTACTCTGAAAAACAAAAGGGGAAAAGGCTCATTGTTTTTAAATAAGGATAACTACCCTGGGAAGAAGTGTCCCCCCCTTCATTCTTGCCCAGGAAGAGGCAGGGCCCCTGCCAGCGTAGCAGTGCTGTCTGTGATGCAGCCTGCGTGACTTAAAACTGTTCTTCTTGAAACTTTTAGTTAATACAAACTTGATACCAGCTCGAACCCCATTAAACCTTACTAGGCAGGCAGCTCAGATTCCCTGTCATTTATCCTTCCTAGGTTAATTAGTGTTCTGAGAAATTAGGTTCCTTTTCCCCAGTGGCAAATCTGTAGGATTTGTTGCTAGGAAGGTAAGAAGGTTGTCCCAGCCAAGAAAAACCTCCTGGTGTTCTGTGGCGGTGGAGGGGCTGTCCAAACTCAATGGGGGGGAAGGGTCCGTTTTCATGCCTGTGTTAAGCCCTAGAATTCTCCACGTGCTTTTGGTACGGCGAATGAGCGAAAGAAGCCTTAATCGCGATCTCCTTGGTGGGTGTCTGCCCTTGTAAACCTGTGATCTGTTTGTCCGCAGCTCCGAGATGAGAAAAACATCCAGGAGGTGTTTGACTTGAACGATTACGAGAAGTGTGAGGAGCTCAGGAAGTCCAAAAGCAGAAGCAAAAAAAACTATAGCAAGTTCTCCCTCGCCCACTCCAAGGAGCCCGGCAACACCGTAAGCTCTCCCCTCTCCGTCCCCTCTCCCCCCCACCCGCCCACCTTCTGGCTGAGCAGCCAAGCCCCCCTGCTCGAGGGACCAAGAGTTCTGCTTGTGGTTGGGGACAGGGTAGGTGGGTGGGCAGCCCGGGAAGGCCTCTCTTGGTCGTTCCCAGCCCTGGGGACCCTGCAGGAGAGCAGCTGCTGGCTGTGCCCAATGGCGGCGGCAGCAGCTTCTTCAGGGAGTAACGCAGCAGCAGGTAACCCTGGACTTGAGGGCTGAACCGGGTTTTTCTTTCCCTCCCACAATGGTGCCTGCTGTTCAGACTGAGGCAGCCTGGCTGTTTCTTCTGCTTCTTGGGCCATCAGTAGGGATTTCTATAGTATTTCCTCTGATTAGAAAGGGGTCTGTTCACGGCAGCTTCCCCTGGAGGCTTGTGAAGCGATGCAGCCCAAGGCCCACCTGGGACCTTCAGGCGACTTGCTCCCCTTGATCTCCCGGACCATCGGCCTTGGGGCTAGCCAGTCCCAGCTTCTTCTTCTTCGGAGGAGGAGGAGGCGCCACACTCTTTTTTGCTGGGTCTTGCAGGCCACCAGGTCCCTGCTTAGAGCAGCCTTCCTCTCTGGGTCCCCCGATCTATTTTGTTCTACCCATCTATGTATGCATCGTATTGATCTGGCTGCCCACCTCACAAAAAGTGGCAGGTGCCTTGGTCCTGGCGGGCTCCCATTGCCCTCAGGCACTGCAGTCCCAGTGCCACACACACACACACACACACACACACACACCATGGATGGCCGGGAGAAGCGGTTGCAGGCTATTGTAAGGCAGCAACGGAGAGGAGGTCACTGTTTCCTCCTTCAACCCAGAGCTGCAAATGTTGCCAGATGTTGTCTTGGACCGAGTTTATGAAGGACAGCAGAGCCAAGTGAGACGGGTAAGTGTCTCCTTGGTTGCCGATGACGCCTCCATCTCTCTCAGGCACCCAATCTCGTCTTCCTGGCCGTGAGCCCCGAAGAAAAGGAATCCTGGATCAATGTGCTCAACTCTGCCATCATCCGAGCCAAGAACCGCATCTTGGATGAGGTGAGCAGCCTGGCTCTTGAGTTGGTCTCTCCTCACCCACAGGCTGAGTGGACCTTTCCAAAGTCTGCATCTGGGGCAGGGTAGGAGGAGCTCAAAGCTGTGCAAGAGAGAGACCCCAACCCTTTTGTTTGCTTGCAGTCGTGGGAATTGTTTGTGGCAGGTGCAGCTCATCCAGACTGGTTTTTCTTCCCTGTTCTTTTGGGGGACAGTGCAAAGGCCCTGCTTGCTTTGGGTCTCATTTCTTGACAGGGGGACCTGGCAGTGGGGTCTCCCTTCTCAAGTGTCCCGGTTAAAGGTGGCAGGAGGCCCGAGTCGACTTCCCTGCTCGTCGTGATCTATCTTACGTGATGAGGAACGTCAGTAACTTTTTAGTTCATTCTGGATCTCACTCTTCTGTCAAGAAAGAAAAGAAGAGTGGCAGAGATTTCCCCCTTCTTTAATCCCGGCAATAATCCTATCACCAGGTTTGCAGCCAGAGAAGAGAGAGAGGAGAGAGAGAAGAGAGGCGCAGGGATGTTCCTGCAGAGATTTATGACTAGGGAGATGCTCCTTGTGCCGTAAGAGGAGGCCCAGTTCGGATCTGTGAATGATTTTCTATCTAAAGTAAAATTGGGGGCAGGGAAAATAAAGGGGGGAGGGGACAACAGAGAGCAATGGAGTAGATTTTGGGGGGGGGGGTTAAATTTAGAAAAGGGGTCCTCAGGAACCCCTTATGGTCTTGTAGAGGAGGGGCAGAAGAATAGAAGGGGTCCTTGTTTTTCCGTCAAAACAGAGAAAGATCTGTGAGGTGAGAAAGATCATTTTAAGGGTTGTTCAAAGCAGAGAGGGAAGCAAAGCCGGGCTGTTTCTCTTGTGGGTTCAAATGAAAGAGTCACAAGTGGAAAATAACCGAAAGAGACCTGTAGCTGGCTTGGAATACGTGCCCCCCCCCCCCAATGGAGCCAAAGAGCGAGGGGGGGGGTGGACGTGAGGGGGTGGGGCGGAGGGGCCAGGCTAGACCAGCAGGATCCCTGGCCTGAATGGGGAGGGAAGAGGACCACCCCCACCCCAGGCAACTTATGGCTTAAGAGAGGATAAAGTAGATGGGGGAGAATGTGGTTTGGAGACGCAAATCCTTGCTTTTATTCAGGGATACTTTTAATTTTTCTTCTTGCCACATAGGGAACTCGCAAATTACCCAATGAAATGCTCTTTATTTGAGTCTGGGCCCTCTACCAGGGGAGGCAGCCTTTTCCTCCCTTCCCATAGCAATGTCAGCTGATTGGGAGGAATAGGCCAGAGAGCTGCAGTCTGAACTGGTGGATATCGAGATGGGTCGATGGGAAATCATTTCCCCTGGGAGTTAAACCATTCACACAATGTATCAAGTAACCTCCAGTTAGTTGCAGCAGGTGTGTTGTATGCCTCACGCTGTGGTTGTTGATGGGCATTTCCAGGTGACCGTGGAGGAGGACAGCTTTCTCGCCCACCCCACTCGGAACAGAGCGAAGATCCAGCACTCCAGGCGGCCCCCGACCAGGGGCCACTTGATGGCCGTGGTGAGTGCAGGGGAGGAAGGGAGCAGACTCCCCTTCGGCCAGCAAAGCTGCCCGAGCTGCTGCCGCTGCTTCCCCTTCGGACAGCTGCATGCCTCTCTCTGCTTTTCTCCCGAGAGAGGGGAGGCAGACGGGTGGGGGGGGGGGGGGCTGGGATGGGTCCGCCTTTCCTCTCACGACGCCTTTTGAGTCACCAAAGGCTGGACGGCCCCAGGAAGGCTACGCTTGCTTCTGCCCACTACCAACTCAGTTGATTCAGCCGTGCCTTGCTGGAGCTGAGCAGCCCGGCAACAAGATACGTAAACTAGTACCACGATATAGTTTTGTGTCAAAATCCGTTTTCCATGATTCTTTGCGCCCTCCCCGGAGAGTCGGTTTTTTCACACTCGCTCTCCACTCCCATACTTCCCCTGCCTTTGCAGGCATCTACCTCAACCTCTGACGGGATGCTGACCCTGGACTTGATCCAGGAGGAGGAGGCCTCCCCAGAAGGCCATGACACCACCTGCGAGAAGAGTTTCCAGGTGGACCTAGACAAATCAGCGGCCCATTTCACCCCTGGCCGAAGGCGCTCTGGTTCAGAGAACGTCAACGACTCGGAGAAGAGCAAGAGCCTCCCACGGAGGAAGAACGTGCCTGGGGAGAAGCTCTCGGCTCGCAGGGAGGCCTTTGGCAAAGGGACCATGTACACCCCTCAGGTCCCCAAGAAGCTCTCCCCCTTGGAGAAGAACAAATGTGCCTCTATGGAAGAAATCCTCTGCTGCTGGGACTCTTCCTCAGCCAGGCAGGCGTCCCTGTGGACCGGCCTCAAGGACCAGGCGGCTTCCCCTGGGCCTGAGCCACTGGCCAGGATACAGGAGCTGGTGGCCTTGCAGCTGGAGAAGACGCAGGGCCTGCTGACGGAAGCGAGGGGCTACGGGGGAGGGGCGCAAAAGGCACAGGAGCTCGGCTCGGCTGCTGCTGCTGCTGCCCCCCCCACCTGTGCCCCCTCCTCGCCCAAGCTGGACTCGGAGGCCACCTTGCAGGAGATCCAGAGGCTGCTGGGTGAGGCCTCCTCCAACTGGAGCCAAGCCCAGAAGGTGCTGCAGGAGGTGAGAGAACTGAGGAGCCTCTATCAGCAGCTGCGGCTCTCACGGCCTGCGCCCTCCCAGAGTCTGCTGCTGCCTCAGTACAGGAGGAGCCTGATGTGAAGGCAAGCAGTGGGGCAACCTCTAGGAAAAACAGGGCACAGGGCAGCTAGGTGGGGAGCGGATGTGCTGTTGGAATTGATAGCATTTAATGCTTCCCGGGTTCTGACTGTTACTCGATCCTTACTCCTCACCAACTCAGTTTTTTCCCTCACTTCCCCCACATTTATTTGTCACCCATTCCTCTCTTCCAACTTCAAGGCAGCCCATTTCCATGTATCCTTTGTGTCTGTAGCCCCCAAAGGGCAGCAACTTAGAGGCGGCATCTTGGAACGTAATTTTTCAGAAACAGGGCGGTGTTCTGTTTTGGCCCCGGTGGATTTCTCAGTGAACCTCTTTCCAAGCAAGATTTCTGGTTTCTAAACCATGAAGTCCTCCCACACAGAGGCCCCTCGGGTGCGCCACCCTTCCAAGCACCAGGAGACGTGGATTGCACCTCAGGCTCCAGGGGGATGTGGCCTCCTCGTCAGGGTCTCTCCTGGGTCCCCCTGGATCCTCCGTGGCTGCTCTGCCACTCAGAAGGGTTATTTCCCTGCTTGGGTCCAAGTCCTTGACTGGAGCCAGGGAAGCATCTTCTGCCCTCGATCCCAGGCAGTTCTGGTCCATGGGCTTAAAGTTCAGGTGCTCCGTAACATCGTTCCCCTTAAGTGCTTGGTGGGTTTTCCTTGTGGCTTTGCTCCCTTTCCCCCCCCGTCGCTTTCCTCAGCCCTGCTTCTGGCCTTCAGACCTAGCAACTCATGAGCAGACCCGGCACTCCCTGCTCAGAAAGCCTGGCGAGCATCCTGCGACTCTGCTTGCTGGCAGAACGTGTGATGCCGCGTCATCTTCTCCTCCTTTCAGTGCAACAGGAGAAGAGTAGCCAGAAGCATTTCGTGGCCACCCGTGCCAATCCATCGCTCCTTTGGGAGAAGCCCTTGATTTCATTAGCTCAGATTGGCCCCGCACCCTCGGCTGCCTGGGTGAAGGTTCAGAGGCATCTTGTCCCTTTGAGCCAAGTCTCATTCCCGCTCTGGTGATGGGAGCATATCTTCTGCGGCATCAGAAGAGATGGCTCCCGTGTTCTGTTCGCTCCATCAGCCACTGCCTTGCCCCGTTGACCAGTAAACCCCGTCCTGTTTCGTTTCCTGTTTCTGTCATTGATACTGAAGCACAGTGGACCCTGTGTTGGACAGGGGAACTCAAGAGGAAGCATCTACTGAATGTGGCCATTACTCTCTGTTTATTTGCAAAACGGTTTGCCTGTGGAGAGTGTCTTGGTAGTTGGAAGGGCTTTTCTCCAGTTAAAGTCAGAGCCATCGGTTCACCGGTGCCTCCCGCGCTTCCTGTGTTCAGGGAAGCCCCAGCAAGGAGGGTTGAGGTCCATAGGATTTGTCCAGCCAGCCAGATCTCACAGTGGAAAGGGCTTGAGAGAGTCACACCGCTCCCCTGTTCTGCGGTCATTGCTCACTGCCTAAGGCAGTAGAGTGTCCCCTTGCGATCTGCCTCTCTAGGGCCTCCGTCCTCCTCATGCTGCTTCAGCTGAGAGTCGGGAAGTGAAGACCCGGCACAGGTTGCATCTCAGGTACCTTCATGTCTTGGCGGATCCCCACTCTGCTAAGCTGGCCCACTTGGGTCCCCCACGGGTGGAGCTGGCCAAGAAGAAGAGTCCCATTCTTGGTGTTTCCATGGGTGGCTCTTTCTGCTCAGGCTTAAGAGAGAATGATGCCCATGTGAGTCTTCCAGAATCATCCCTCGAGAAAGAGGATTGGAAATGGATGCTTCATAATAAGACTTTCCAATTGGCCTTAGGTGCCCTCCTTTCTCTTTTTTAAGGGAAGTTGAGAAATTTATTTTCCCTTTTCTTCTTTCTCCAAACTTATGACACAGCCTTTTAGGGTGGAAGTGACCTTTGTGTTCATTTTACATCCCCCTGAGTTTTCTTAGGGAGTAACCACATTCAGAAGTCAGATTCACATCCTGATTCTGTAACAGGTAAAAGGCAGATGCACAAAGTCAAAATTCGCATGTAGCTCAATAAAATTAAAAAGGGACAAGAAACTTGTTAGGTTTAGTTAGGGCAATAGAGAAATATGGAAATAAATAATTAGCCCTACCAAAGAGAATTTTTTCCTTGCACTCTCTTTTCCCTGGAAAGGATTGGGACCATAAATAACCATAACAAAACCAATGAAAGTAATCCTTACAGCATTTTTTTTCCTGAAAGAAAGCGCAACCATTACCATGTACAAAAAATTGTAAAGGGCTCACTAGCGCATGTCAGCATTTTTCAGGAAATGAAAGAGCAATTGAAGCGCTGGGTGAGCCATTAGTCCCTATAGGAACTTTTGCTTAGAATTGATTGATTGACTGATTGTATCTGCTTTTATGCTGCCTCAGTCAAGCAAATCTAAGTGGCTTAAAAAGCTAAAAGACAATAGTCTGTTCAGACAGTACAAATACATGGTTCAGACTATAAGCTTATAAGTGATACAGGAATGAAATATTATTCATCGGGGAACAGAGCATGAAAATGCATAAAAAGACAGTGATAAAAGAAGAAGTGCTAATTAGGAGGTTGGAAGGAGTTTAACACGTCTCTGTAAGGCGGTATTTCACATGGGTGCAAGCAGCTGTTCTTTGCTGCAAGCTTGTGGGATAATGTTTTTGGCATGTTAGAGATGAAGTTGGTATTATAGCAATATATTATTTTAGAGTGTGTTTCTATTGTTCCAAAGTAAATAACGCCAAGGGCTGCCTGTAGGTTTGGTCTTATTTTTTTTGAAGGCCTGCCTACGGACACCACAGTTGCTGATGTATATTTGTGTTGGAGGGCACTCGGCATATTTCGTTCCCTTCAGATTCGTAGGGTTGACCCGCTTCCACCATTTTGAATTTCCAGGGCAGTTTATCTGCTGCTGGTAACCAGGTTAGCCTTTGTGCTGAGCGGAAGGCTCAGGGTAGAAGCTCCCCTTCTGAAGCGCCAGGTGAGAGCAGGCCTGGTTCCCTCACAGCTTCCCCTTGGTGGCAGCTGTCATTGCTCTGAGCCAGGAGATTGGATCGAGAGGGCCCCCCCCGATACAGGGGGTGCTCCAGCTCTCTTTAGCCCGCGTGCCTTGAAAGCTACTTTCCATAATTTTGATTTGTCGTTTTAGCCAGGACAGAATTTACTCTAGAAACAGCCTTTAGTTCTTTTCTTCAGGTCTGAGCTGACTTGGAAATAGCTCCCTTTTAAAAAGGTGTGGCTTCCTCTCCTCCTCCTCAGGGGTTTTCCCTCCCACACATAGGTTAGCTAACCCTCCGTAGGAGTAACACTCGCTTTTCTTTGCTACACAGCCTCACACAGTTTGAGAGGATTCAGGGCTAGGCTTGAACAGGTTTTGTGCATCTATTCTCAAAGTTCCAGGCTCAATCTTTTTTTATTTCTGGGGAAGACTAACCTGAAGTGCAGATATCTGGAAACCGCTAGATGGCAGCAGAAAGAGATGGGAAATTAGCTTCTTGCTGCCATCTTGTGCTGCTCTGGATTATGGCAGCCCTAATTTGATACCTTGATTACGTTACTGCTTGTAAGTCATTTACTTTTGTTTCCTTTTTCTTGGGGATTTGTTATATGAACATAAGTGGGAAAACAAGTTCCAGATTCCAGCTACGTTTTGTTCCTCCTCCAACTTCCCAGGGTCCAAGCTAATTATTGCATTTTTGGAGGAGTCTTTATGCAGGGTGTCCTTTGGCAATTATTGGCTGGGCATTGGCATAAGCTTCTGTGTCCAGACCAGAGGCCTGATGTCCCGCAACTTTCCCATACACAAAGTCACAGCTTGGGAGCAACAGATGCCACCATGGAAGCCTTAAATGGGGCCCCGTGAGAGGAAGTGAGGGAGTTTGGGGCAGCAGCTTGTGTTTCCTAAGTGGGGAAAGTGTGGCAAAACAGAGACATCCCTTTCCCAGCCCATATGTGGCTGTGGGTGGGTGCAACTGCTATAAGTGTCTCCTGCAAAAGTAACCAATGCATGTGCAGTGGCCCCACCCCCAATATGCAATCCCCGTGCAAAAACTCACTGGTGCAACCTGCGTAAAACTGCATGCACTCTTGGATTGGCACAAATAGTGCAATGTTGCTTCCACCTCCAGAACTGTGAAATCCTTTGATATCTATCAATGTCTTGGCATTTACTAATGTATTTATACTGAGGCAGAGAGCACAATCTAAGAGAAAATGCTTTAGTGTCACCTATTTCCTTTCCCCTTCCTCTCCCCCCTCCCCTCTTCGTTTGTTTCAGAAATTCTGTGGATGCTAATTTATTTTTTAAAGAAATCTATGCAAACTGCTTAATAAAATTGTTTTCCTTTATTCACTCTCTCTCCTCCTGGGCACCATAACTTGCATGTACAAGCCTATTAAAACCTGTAAAAGGCTTTTCTTCCTGAGAAATCTCAACTAGAAGGCTCTGTGTCTGTGGGGAGCTTCCTCTCTTCTAGGGCTGCAGAAGCTGTGGGGACCTTAATGAACACGGTTGGCAGAGAACTAACTTTCTTCAGCTCCCAGAAATGTCAATGATAACCTTTGTGTAACTGAGGGCCAGTTTCGGGGTTTCTTAAGCAGAGGAGGAGCACTGCTTCGGCCGAGAGAGAGAGAGAGAGAGAGAGAGAGAGAGAGAGAGAGAGAGAGAGAGAGAGATGCCCTATCCTCTCCAAGGAGCCCGTGGCTGGAGGCTCATCCCTAGGGGCTTGGCCTCTGCCAGGCTGGTCCCTTGCGCTGGCTCCAAGCACAGCCCTTCTGCTCCGAGTCTCTTCCCCGCAGCTCTTCTGCTGTGGCACATGGAAGCTCCATTCTTTGCTGCTGCTGTGAGAAGCTGCCCTGCCTTTGTCCAGCTCCTTTCTCTTAGTACCGCCCGGCTAGTGGCTGTGACTGAACCTTCTGCCAGTCAGTGCCCTGAGCTAATTATGCATTGCATGGAAAGGCCATTCATCAGTTTTGTTGAATAACCACTCAGCCTGTTACTTGTAGCAAGGTTGTTCTCTCTTGGCTATCCGTGAAGTTGTATAAGCCTCTATCACGTCTCCTCTTTGGATTTTTCTTTCTTTCTTTTACTTACCTAAAAGTCGAAACTGCCCTTGATTTCCTGAGTTGACACTTGTGGCATACTTGCATTTAGGTGCCGGCTTGGTTTCTGCTGTCTGTTTCTTCTCTGCTCTTCTCAGCACCTGCCTCGTCCAAGGAAGCCGGACTCTGCACTGATTTTTATGTGAAATCTTTTTTTAAAAGTCCCGCGTGCTGTCTGGTCAGCATGTTGCTCCAGCTTGCTGCTGTTCTTGTTTACCTGGTTTGATATTTAAGACTGCTAAAGATGAAAATAAAACCACTGAATGTTTTTAAACAGTGTATTTTTAGATGTCTTGTCAGCTTCATGTTACAGCTAGTTTAAATTCTCAGGGAAGGGGTGTGTGTCCTGTGGGGCCTTAATTGAGGTTAGGAATAGTTCATGTTGGATGAAAGGTGTGAAAAAGGAGGCTCTGCCAGATCCCAGAGATTGGTGTTTGTGTGGGCACACGTGGCCTCTACTAGTGCCACCTGCAGCCCCACCCTTCCGAGGGCTTGAGAGACAGGAGGCGGGACTAATGGGGATAGAAACCAGAGGCCGCTGATGGGCAGAAAGGGAGCGTCCCATTGAAAACCCTCTGCTCTGGTTTCCTGTCCATCTGGGGCTGGGAGGCTCTCCTGCGTTGCTTCCTCTCCTCCCTCTCCTCCTTTCTTCTGCTTTCCCCCCTTTGAACGGTCTTCCTCCTCAAGGGTATCTAGCTGAGCAGCCAATAGCCGCCTTCAGCAAGCTTCAAGCCATATAAGGGAAGGTGGAAGCAAGGAGGCCCCCCTCAAGTGCAGCCCCTCCGGTCACCTGATCAGCCCGACGGGCGTTCATCCTCCCAGAGACCCAAACAGAGGCCAGTCGGCTGGGGAGGGGGACAGAGAGAGCCTCATGCCTTGCCTTGATGTAGCAGCGGCTAGAGGGCAACCCCCCTTGGATGAAGACTCACACACACACACACACACACACACACACACACACACGCCCTGCTTTTCCCCACCTGGGCCTACTGCTGATGGAGCAAGAGCAGTTCAGCCTTCCCTTCCCTTAAATTGCTATAGCAACTTCTATGCTGTATCCTCTTACATGTTCAGGTGTAGTTTACACAAAATCAAAGGTGTACATTTTGACTTTGGGGAATACGGTAGCAAGTAATAACAGCTTCTAAAGGATCAGCTGGATAGTTGGATCTTGTATTATCTATTTGATTAGCCTTGATTGCGCTCTAATTGCCGCTCTCCACGCTCCATGAGACATAGGAAGCGGACATACAAGGAGCATATTGATGCAATGTCTAATTTTAGTTTTGTGCCTACACAATTACACAAGTCGTCTTAAAAACTTAATGCTAAGCCACAAAGTTTACTCAGTTTGCTTAAATCCTAGACACTGGAAGCTTTTGTCTTTTTTTAAGGCAATAGATGCCCAGGTAACCCCAGCGCCTGTTTCATACAGAAGATCGCAAGGGAACTGAAAAAGAGCTCTAAAGTCTTTGGCTCTTAAATCTTTTTTATTTTAATTCAATATTGATCTAATGCAGTGATCCTTGGGGCGGAGCAAGTAATTTCAGGTCGGCCTGAACTCCCAGATGGGATGAAGCCTCGGTGATCGGGCAGTCAGTCCCGAGCATTATCGACTCGTCTCGGGGTGAATTTGCTCTCAACGAATTCGGAATTGCAGCCTCTTCTCCGCTGAGCATTTTTGGTCGAGGACCTCACGACCCCTTTATGCCGCCTCCCAACCTGCCTTATCCTCCATTGTGCTTCTCCGCCTGCTTCCCGCCTCTTGCCCCCCTCCCCCCCGCAATTGCTGGGAGACTCGCCGGGGCATTCGGTCCCTTCTGCGGGGGGGGGGGGGCGGCCCGGGCACCCCCCCCCGCCGCGGGGGGGGGGGGGGACGAGATAAGACAGGGGAGCCGTAGTAGCCCCGCCCCCTTTGCAGGCCCCGCGCGCAGCTGCCGGGCTCTGTGGGGGAGGGAGCTCTGGGCGCCTGCTGCCCCCTGGCGGTGGCGCCTGGCCCACGCGCTCATCTCGCTTAGGCTTTTCGGGTGAGGAAGTCTCACGACCTCTTTAAGCGGCGGCGAGCAAAAGAGGGAAGGGAGGGGCTCCGCTCGCGCGCGGCCTGCTGACACGAAATCCTCGCGCTGGTCATGAGGCGGGCCGGGCGAAGCTTCTGCTTCCTCGGCGGTTCTAAGGGGGCGAGGCGCTCACTCTCTTCCTCCTCCCCCGCAGGGATTGGGTCGGGGGCGGGGACGCTGGGAGACTGCGACAGCCGCCGGCCAATCCGCGGCGGCGGCCAGGACCCTTTTCCGCCCGAGCCGGCCTGGCTTCCGCCGCGCCGAGGGGGAGGAGCTCCTGCGGTCCCATTTTGGGTTGGCCCTTCCCGCTTTCCCGCCAAAGCGGGCCTCGTGCTTCCCGCTGAGGCCGAGCGGGTCCCCCGCGGCTGTGAGGAAAGGAGGCCGGGCCAAGGGCTTGACTGGCGGGATGATGATCGCAGGCCGCCTCGTGAGTCGAATCCCTTTAGCAAAAAAACAAGAGTTCCATTGCGGAAACCCTGCAAGACTTTGGGAACAGAAAAGCCGGTCTTTGGAACGAGTAAGAAGCCGCGATTATGAGACAGCAACACGGCTTTAAACCCGAAAGCTTTTATGTTTTTTAAAGTATTCTTCTTACAGAAAGACGAGATAGCGACTAATGTTTAATCAGTCCTTTAAGATCCCTAACCCCAATTTCTACTAAGTTGCCTTTCACATTTCTTTCTATTCAAATGCCTTAAAAAAGAGCTGTGCCGTGTCACCCAATTCTTTTTCCGAGGGGGGGGGAGGAGGAGAATATTTAATTTTACTGAAGTTTATGAAAGCTACTTCCTGAAACTAAAGAGTGCAATGCGCTATGTACTAAGAATGCCTGTGTTTGTAAATATATTACAGGCAAATGCAATACAAATTAAGCACCTATGCAGAAATTATCTATCTTAAAACAGCTTCTCTAAAATCTGACAGATAATTGTGTAATTTGAATACATATAGGTATTTGAGTAAAATATTTATTTAATAATACAAGTTCATCTGTTGGAAGCAGAGAACCAGAAAAGAGCTCTGCATCCATTTTTTCTATGTTTTCTTTGTCAAAATAACCTGCATAAAAGGGAATTAGAACATAACCGATCTACCTTCCACAGAAAAGAGTAATATTGCCTTGCTGGTCACATTTAGCAAAAGTATTTCTATATTTTTTAACAGTGAAACCAAGGACTCTGGCTGAATAACTTCCCTCAACAAGAACCCATATTTTTACAAACTAAACCTATCCCAGAGAGAACTCCAAATCGTTTGCAATTTTGTATACTTCTTTCCATGACAAGGTGTAAAGCCATTCTCCACTCTTGGCTTTAGGGGCCTTGCTCTGAATTAAACAGCTGCCTTCTTAAATATCTTCCCAATTCAGCAACACAAGCAACTTGTTGTGGTTTTCAGAAGCTTGGCTCTAAGCCAGCTCACTTGTATATCTACCTGCCAATATTGCTTGAAAGGGCAATATAAAGTGAGAAAGAAAATGCAGCCTAATTTCTATGGGTTTAAATTTAGTACTGAAGAATGACTCTGTTCAATTTTAACCAGAACAAAAGAGTTCTGAAATATGCATGTAAACCATGAGTCTAGAGGAATGGTCAAAAGGATCATGAAGAAGTTATAATCTTGAATGCACTATAATTATTTCCAGTTTATATTTTGGAATGGAAGAGTGAGTGAGGCTATTTTAGAGAATTGTATTCCAGTCTTGCTTAAAGTTATCTACCAGAAAAATCTTTGTGTGTGTGTGTGTGTGTGAAAGAGAGAGAGACTAACCACACACAGAAATGAACTAGGAATTCAGTGTATCATTCAGATATCCTTTTAAAATAAAATGATAGGTAAAATGTGAGTTCCAGATCACCAAATTCCCATTTCAGTTGCAACATAATCCTTTCCAGTGAAGAGTTGGTTATCTTACTCCTGTATATTTGACATGAGCATGCTCTCTTAAAAGTTTAAATTAAATCTGTTCAATCCTTCTGAAGTAACTGGCTAGGGTTAACTGCATGCTCATAATGAGGAAACAGAAGGGGAAAAATAGGAGGAATAAAGTTTCTAGGCAGGAAATAGGGGACAACTGCTTCAGTGAGTAAAACAGATGAAAATATGATCAATAATGGATTATTATGTCTTAGTTGGAATGATAAAAAGGGCAAACAGTAAAACACTTCCTATAAAAAGTTAAAACACAATATCTTTTGTAGACACCTATCATACATGGAGCCTTACAAATCTGCATATCGCTATTGCATAATTCCAACAAAAATGAATCGGGTCCTATTTGTATTTTCTGCGACTTAATCATCGTCATCATCTCCTTCGTCTTCAGCTGCACGTTTTCTCTTCTCCCCCTGGACAACGGCATCTGTGGGATAGAATTTTTACACATGTCCAAAGGAAAATTAAGGGGCGATGACTCCTGCACACTGTTGTACAGTTATTTTCATAACTTCCAAACAATTACAT